CCCACGGTCCAATTCGACGTCGTCCAATTCGCTGTCAGAGACAGATTCCAATGCGTGCCTTCGGTCGTTGCCAACGCGCAGAGCAGCTTGGGGCGCGGTCCAAACTCTAGGCTCGCCGGGAGCATGAGCTTGGACAGTCCACCCCGCAGTCAGTCGTTGCTTCATAATAGTCTGCCTGGCGAGGCGCTTAGGAGGTTGATCAGGCTGTGCCGCTTTGTTCACCTGAGCAAGCGTTGGCTCTGCTGGTCGGGTTCTGCTCACAGCAGTGTGGCCAAGTTGATTATGCCATACAAGGTGAAGATCGAGATCGCTGGCATGACGAACAAGGAATTGGCGTACTTCCGCCTCGTGACTGGAGTAGGATATTTCGCTAGATCGGTCTTCATCGCCGAGCCAGAGGCCCAGGAAGTATGGATCGACGGGTACTTCTTGCTCGGGCAGCTCGAACCCAGGGGATCTGAAAAGTCGATGTTTGCCTTGTTCGGTGGGATCAAGAGATGCGAACTCTGTCGCGGTCATTTCAACTGTATCAAAGCGCTCTGTGGCCGAAACCTGGACATTGCCCTCCAAGCTTTCTCGATGAAGGACAAGGATGTGGTTTGGCGTTACGACAAGATCCTCCTTGCTGCCGCCAACTTTGATGCGGTAAAGACGATCGTTTCCGCTGACGATGTTAAACGCACGTCGCGGGCCGCCGTCAGGTCCCAGCAGCAAGTCGCCCTCTTTGACGTCTTCAACCGCAACCTTGGTGCTGTCGTATCGCAGAAGCATTGTTCCCTTGGCCAAGCACGCCTTCTCCCAGAAGAGGCCTTCCCAGGACGGGAATCCCGTGGCTTTGAAAAGCGTGTGCTCAAGAATGGTCTCAACACCACCAAGTGCTTGGATGACGTCAGTACGGTAGGCGTTGAGGTTCCAGAGCTTGCCGTCGTGACGCTGACTCGTCCACCAGAATGGGTTGTTCTTCATGAGTTGGTAAATCTTGAACTCAGCACGAGCGCGGAAGCCCTTGTCAAAGCTCAGCGTGCTGCGATCCTTTTGAAAGAGTGTGTTGATGCGAGGCAGACCGCGGTCCCAGCTGTCCTCGAGGTCCTCGAGCGTCAGGCGACGGTTCTGTTGGTTGGCTTCCATGCGCTTCTGCGAGTATTCGGTCCAGACGCGCTGCGAGTCGATGAACTCGGCTTCCCAAGGAATAATATATCGGAAAATGTTGGGAATGAGAGTCTCTTCGTCATGGGTCATACCAGACCGGTAGTGCGTAACTCCTGTGTCCGTTTGCTTGGACCACCGCTTGTCACTCGCGGGAATGAGGATGTGAGAACCAGAGATCATTCCCAAACCACCCAGTTCCTTGGGGGTGTAGAACACCGCAGGTGGGAATCGAGACGGCATCTTGGAATTCAGGCCAATCTTGACACGAGTCTGAATCTTCGTCTCACACTTAACAATGGTGTCTAGTAGCTCAATGGTTGAGACTGCAGCTTCGCGGTAGTAGGTAAAAAGAGCGATCAAGGCCGTGTTCCACTTGTTGGCGATCTTGGTGAATGTAGTGGAACCAGAAGACATGAGAATCTGACGAATGCGGTTGTTGAACTTCTGGATATCATCTTCAGTCACCTGGAGGAAGGCGTGCGCTGTTCGCTCCTTCGTGGTATTGTCGACAAGCGACCACACGCTGTCCTTGACAGGGAACTCATCGTTCTGATTCCGAATCTTGGGGAGAATGCGAACTTCGAAGCCGCACATGGAGAAGAGGAGGTTGGGGTTATCCCGACTGTAGACGCTAGTGAAGCTGTCATCCCACTCAATGGTAGTGATGGATCGCGGGAGGCGGTTCTTGAGGTCCCAGAAGACAGCCCTTCCTAGGTTGACATCGTGCCTCATCAACCGCATGCGAGAATCTCTTGGCCAGCACTTCTTGCTCTTAAAGCCGATAACATTCTCAAAGTTGGGGTCGGGTTGTTCAGTGAGGAAACGTTGGATTAGGTCACGCGAATCTTCCGCGGTGAAACGCAAGAACACCCAGATCTTGTCGACATAACGGGTGTAGAGACGAATCGGGTGACGGGTTTCCGTCTCCTTGTCGCGGAACTGCAGGAAGTCATTGGGGCTTTGAGGCGGGCCCGCAATCTCGCTTGCTCTTTGGGGGCCAAGAAGCAGCAGGTCCAGGACGAGACCGTAGTACTGGAAAACGAAGGCCGAAAACTGCAAGCCACGGATCATACCGTAGCTGTTGACGTGGTTCATGTCCTTATAGGTCAGCTGAACGTTGTTCTTGGCAGTGATGTAGTCTGCCAGGTTGTGGTCCATGATCAGTCTCAATAGTGAGTTGAGCAGAGTTAGTTCCATTTTGTCGTACACCTTAGACAACTCTGTCTCGATCATGACGTTGCACTCTCCGTTTTCGGTTTCCCAAACCTTGTCCAGGTTATTGATGCCCTGTGCCCACTTGTACACCAGAAGGGGAGGCACTTCCGAGTCTGAAGGTTTGATCCACGCAGGGAACAGATGGCGTTGATCAGCCTGGTACCAGAGATACTGGTCAAGGTAGGCATCACTGATCTTCTCAATAGGCTCGATATCATATACAGGATTGATTGTGCTGTAGTTGTCGTTCATGTCGATGCCTACCTCCTTGAAGGCACGCTGTGTCAGGAGGAAGCGCTTGATGCGTTCGAGGGTTGTGCCGGGGCTGTCATAAGCCTGCTCGATCAGGGCCAGCTCCTCACGCTGGCTCTGGTTCAGCCTGCCCTTGACAGAGTAGGCCTCACGGAGGCGCTCTAGGGCGAGGATGAGAATCTTGGTGTCATGCTTGTAGGACACGCTGGGGAAGGGTATGGGAGAAAATTTTCGCGACTCGAGCCAGTGCACGGTGGTGGTGTAGATAGCCACGGCCTCCTCAGAAGAGACGTAAGGACCGTCCTTCATGTGGTTGTGCTGGCGCTCCTGCTCAGCCTTAAGCCAGAGACGAGTCAAACGACCAACGTTCTTTTTGGCCACAGTTTTGTCGACCGTCGCACCACGTCGAATACGCTCTCGGTTGTAGTGAGCAACTGAGATCCACCAATCCGCCTTGGCTTTGACGTAACGCAGAATGATGTTTTCAATGGGCGCTGGCAAGCCAGGCACCTTCCAAGGAATGTTGCTCTTCCAGCACCTCCACGCTTCGGAAAGATGCTGGAGCACAGTGTTGACCTTGTTCTGCTTGATGCCTTCTGGCATCATGTCCATTAAGTCCGCCATGACCGAAGCGCGAAGTTCCAGGTCAAAGTGAGACTCGACACGCTGCTTCGTCACTGTTTTGGCGACACCCTTGCTGTGGCGGCCCTCGAACTGACGAGACAGAAGGTTGCCAAGCCATCGCTCCAAGAGTGGAATGATACCCCTCATGAAGAAGAGCCAAACTCGCCAGGCGGGAGCCCAGAAACCGCAACCGGGGCCCTTGCCGACAGGAGCAGAGTTGAAGCGATAGTAAATCAGATGCTTCAGATCCTTGCAGGAACGAATCTGGTGCATCAACTTGTACTTGTAACGGTACATGCCCGTTAGCTGACCCACATGGTTGAAAGCATAGAGGATGCCGTCTGCCAGCTGGAAGGGGTCGATGTTGCCGAGGCGGTATTGAACCTGGGCATCGACAATCAGCTTGGTCAAACGCAGGATCTCACGCATCAGGTGGAAAGCGTTGCCGAAACGCGACTTCTTTCGCTCCTTGGTTGTGAGGGTCTTGACAGGCTTCAGGTTGAAGTTGTAGTCGAGATGAAGGTAGGTAAGGTTCTTGCGGTGGATCAAGAGATTAAGCATGTTGAAACCTTGTCGGCAGACCTGCAAGCCGGCTTCGACCCAGTCGATGGTGGTCTGCTGGAAGAACTTGGTCTGCCTGAGACTCCGCATCAGGTTCTGTTGCTGCTGTGACTTTGGCTTCTTCTTGTGGACCTCGTTGAGAACGAAGTTCTTCAAGAGCTTTTGGTACGACACGCGAACCTTGACGGGAGGCTTGTCCGTTGGCGCGTGTTCGAGGTACCATTGCTTGATAAGAGGCACATCCTGGGCGCGAACCATGCGCCCGGAGCGCCGATCGAAGGGGAACGGCGCCCACCACAGCTCAATGGCAGCAGCCGTGTCGTCATTGAAGAGTTCCTCTTCATTCAAGAATGGCTCGACGTCGGCTGGCAGCTCAAACACATCCTCGTCCTCCTCGTTGTTGCCGACGCCAAAGAGCTCGTCCTCGTGGCTGATGGTAAGGTTTTTCGGTGCTACGGCGCGGGACGAGATCGGATTGATCCTGTGATCGAAGTGGAAAGCCGGCAGGTCCGGGTTGTCGGAACGCTTGAAGACGATCTGAGGGTATGAATGCCAAGCGAGATGAACACTACGGGGAAGAGAGTTGTAGAGATAGGGATACGCCACGCGGAACTCTGTTCTGACAGGATTACGGAAGATGATTCGGTCGATGGCGTTGAACTCTCCAAAGTCCTCATCATTGGGATCGATGTCCTTGTAAAGGGGCTCGAAGCGCGGTCCGCCTGGTAGTGCGACGTTGAGCGCCTTTCCGGTCAGGAAACTCTTGCGGTCGAAGAGGTAGAAGTAGTTCTTGTCGACAACGTCTGAAATGAGGGGTCGACTCAGTCGGAAGAGCGTGGCCATCTGAGGAAGTGTGAGGTTCCAGGACTTGTAGCTGTCGCCATTGACATGTGGTGTATCAAGGAGCGGCCTGTGATCGTAGAACCATTCGTAAACTGCTGCGTCTTCGTCCTCATTAAGCTCCATCTGGATCGGCTCCGCAGGCTCAACGTCTTCGAGGTTCTCAGACCACGACAGCGGGGGCTCTTCGTCATCAAATGGTGGGAAGCGCATACGCTTGAACAGCCTTCGGTCGGCCTTCTCCTTTCGCATGAACGTCCACATCATGGCCCACTGCGCGAAGAAGACAGGCTCGATGACGCGAGGGATCTCGTTGACGAGGGTCAGGCATCCGTTGACGTGATACAAAACCTTGACCTCGCGCGCTGACTCCCAGGGCATGGGCATGTTCTCCAGCAGCTTCAGGACGGCGTGCGGCATGAACTTGAGAGCTCCTAGATAGCTTCGCTTGTCGCTGGTGTACTTCTTCTGCGACACATCACCGATGTCTTTGACGATCTTGCGTAGATGCTCCGGTGGCATGTCAGCTTTCTGTGTCTCGACAAACCCGCTCTTCCGCTTCTCGCCAAAGCGGGCGCCTTGATCCCGAAGCCATTCCTTTTTCTTCTGGGCAAACTTTGCGATTTGAGGGTCGGTCGGAGGACGGTATCCAGGAGGTGGCGGCGCGGGGGCGGATGGAGGAGGAGGCAGCGATGAGGAAGGAGGAGGAGGCGGCGGCGGCGGAGGGCCCCATCCCGGAGGAGGGGGTGGTGGTTGTGAGGACATGTTGGATGAATTGGCGATTGTGATGATGCGAGCGAGGGCGGGAGGGAGTTCGTCTGAGCTCGACGACTGTCGCTGGCGCGACTCCCGAGACGCGTTAACCGACGTGGAGTCCGGGCGATGCGGCAGGGTATTCGGGAACAGAAAAAATCGCTTTGAAATGAATGAATGTGGTGAACGATCAGTCACGCGATTCGGGCTGCGATGACTGTCGTAACGATAGGGATCGTTACGAGATTGATGATGAAGACGGCTCGTCTCGATCACCTCGAGTTTTTCCTGACTGGAACTCCAGGCAGATGCAAAATGCACTAGTCTCATTCGGGTAAGGCCAGGGCCGTCGCTGCTTTAAGCAACGTGGGGTTCTTTGGGTCGCAACGAGCCAACCACCATCACTGAGTCACTCGCTGCCTTGCACGCACAGAAAATTACTGATTTTCCCCTCCACCAGTCTGCATCAATTTTCACCCACTATCACCCCCCTCCCTCCCCCCTCACCTTGAGACCGTTCGGGCATCCCCTTTTGAGCGACAGCAAAGCAACTGCCAAAATGTCCAGGTTCTTCCGCCGTGGTGGTGACGACAGCTCCTCCGAGAGCTCTTCCGACGAGGAGGAGCTCTACTCCGAGGAGGAGGAGGAGGAAGAGAAGAAGGTCCGCGACGACGACGATTCCGATGACGACTCTGACGATGATAATGACGAAGATGACTCGGATGACGACTCGAGCGACGATGATGGAGGAAAGGCGACCGGTCTGAACCGTTTCCTCAAAGATGCCAGCTCTGAGAGCGAGGACAGCGACGACGAGCAGAGGCTCAAGGTCAGGAGCGCAAAGGACAAGCGTCACGAGGAACTCGAGGCGACCATCAAGTTGATTGAGAACGGCGAGAAGAATGGCGACTGGGCCTCTATTTCGAGTGGTAAGGATTGACCCGCATGTTTTCGGGGAAGCGAGAAGGCAAGAGTGCTGATGCTGACCCCGCGTTACCAGAATTCGACAAGCTCAACCGCCAGGTCGCCAAGATCCAAGAGTCGAGGAAGACGCCCAAGTCTTACATCAAGACCATTGCCGAACTCGAGGACTACATGAACGAGGCCGTTGCCAAGCAGAAGGTCACGCCGAAGAAGATGAACGCCATCGCTGCCCGTGGCCTGAACGCTGTCAAGCAGAAGATCAAGAAGGTCAACAAGGACTACCAGTCTCAGATCGAGGCCTACCGTGCCGACAACGATGCCTTCATGGATTCTGAGGAGGAGGAAGAGAAGGTCTCCAAGCCCAAGAAGACTGTTCGCATCGCCGAGGCTGAGGATGTTGCCGAGCCCCTCGGCGAGGATGATGGCTTTGCCACGGTCGGCAAGGGCGGTCGCACCCTCCAGTTCACCCCCGAGAGCATCTTCAAGCATCTCCGTGGCATCCTCGAGTCTCGCGGCAAGAAAAACACCGACCGCACCGAGCAGATCAAGACTATGGAGAAGCTCAGCGAAATCGCCAACACGCCCTACCAGAAGGTCCGCGTCCTGCTTGCCCTCGTCTCCACGCGTTTCGACCTCAGCTCCAGCGGCGCCACTTCGATGCCCGTTGAGCACTGGAAGGCCGCCGAAAAAGAGCTTGCCACCCTGTTTGAGGTCCTCGAGGCCAACCCCGATTACGTGGTTGTCGAGACCGCCGAGGAGTGGGAGGATGACGAGAAGCCTCCTGCGCTTGAGAAGGGCGAGAAGTACATCAAGGTCCCTGGCAGCATCGTCTCATTCATCGAGCGTCTGGATGATGAGCTCACCCGCTCGCTCCAGAACATCGACCCTCACACGTCGGAGTACATTGAGCGTCTGACTGATGAGGGCGCCCTGTACAACATCATCTTCCGCGGCCAGCTGTACTACGAGTACCTCCGCAAGGATGCCGCGCTCGATATTACGCAGGAAAGCATCAACCGTGTTGTCACGAGGAGGCTCGAGCACGTCTACTTCAAGGTGAGCCCACTGTCTTTACTTTCAACCGACGATCTCTTGCTAACTATTGGTTCAGCCTGCCCAAGTCATCAAGATTCTTGAGGAGAACGCCTGGAAGACTGCCTCTGCCAAGGCCGAGTCGGACATTACGCCTCGCTCTGAAGACGCCGATGCCAGCAACCTGGTCAACGTTCTCTGCAACTACCTCTTCAGCAACGCCGAGGGTATCCTCCGTGCCCGCGCCATGCTGTGCCGTGTCTACTTCCTCGCCCTGCACAATGAGTACTACAACGCTCGTGACATGATGCTCATGTCCCATCTGCAGGAGAACATTCCCCAGTTCGACGTTCTTTCTCAAATTCTCTACAACCGTACGCTGGTCCAGGTCGGTCTCTGCGCCTTCCGCAAGGGTCTCGTCTACGACGCCCAGAACACTCTGCAAGAAATTTGCGGCAGCGGTCGCCAGAAGGAGCTGTTGGCGCAGGGCGTCATGATCCAAAGGTACAACCAGGTGTCGCCCGAGCAGGAGAGGCTCGAGAAGCAGCGCCAGCTGCCCTTCCACATGCACATTAACCTCGAGCTCCTCGAGTGCGTGTACCTCACCTGCAGCATGCTGCTCGAGATCCCCGTTCTCGCCCAGACCGGCTCATCACCGGATATCAAGAAACGCAACATCAGCAAGACGTACAGGCGCATGCTCGAGTACCACGAGCGTCAGATCTTCACCGGCCCCCCAGAGAACACGCGTGACCACGTCATGCAGGCGTCCAAGGCGCTCGCGGCGGGCGACTGGAAAAAGTCGATCCACTTCATCCACAGCATCAAGATCTGGGAGCTCATGCCCAACACGGATGACATCAAGACGATGCTCGCCAAGCAGATCCAAGAGGAGGGTCTGCGCACGTACCTCTTCACGTACGCGCCCTTCTACGACACACTGGCGTCTGAGACGCTCAGCGCCATGTTTGAGATGGAGACGAGCAAGGTGCTGGCTGTCATCAGCAAGATGATCAGCCACGAGGAGCTGGCGGCTTCGCTCGACCAGGTCACGTCGACCGTCATCTTCCGCAAGGGCGTCGAGCTCAGCCGTCTGCAGAGCTTGGCGATCGCCATGTCGGACCGCGCGAGCTCGCTCATCGAGACGAACGAGCGAACACTGGAGCAGCGCACGCAGGGCTCGGCCAACGCCTTCGAGAGGCAGGGCGGTCGTGGACGCGGCGGAGGTCGCGGCCGTGGCGGCAGGGGAGGCGGTGGCGGCGGCCGCGGCGGCGGTGGCCACGCGCAACGCCAGGCGGGTGGCACGCAGTTCACCGGCGGTGCGCTGGGCGCCGCTGTGCGGGGTTAAGCGTAGCCGTTGGTGGGCTTTTCTGTTTGCTTGCTAATATCTGCGGTTCTGGCATCAGGGTTTGGTCGCTTGGTCAAAAAAACAATCAGGCGCGTAGGGGTGGTCGGTCAGAGGACAGGGGACAGCCCCTACGTTAGGTATGACGTGTAGCTTCGCGGAATAGAGGCTATAGAATGCATTTTCCCCCGTTACGTTGTTGAAGCCGCAAGGATGACGGTGATTGTTGATTTGGCAAGATGTATGTGTATCAAAAATTCCGCATGTTGCAAATTTTGATGGAGCAGAAAATTGAATACATGAAAACAAGAATCAGGATCTACTTGACAATGCTCGTCTACATCAGTTTCCGGGAAAAGAAATGATATGCCTCAGAATTTGGATGATCGATGGAGAGAAATTGGTGCTTTTGTCGTCAAGTCTTGGTGAGATCCCACATGGGAAAAGCCTGGAGCATCAATATGCACCCCGAGAGCTGGCTGCTCGCCACCAAGATGCACGTGATGCCACAAAACGACGCGCGCGGGCTACTTGCGCCTGACCCGCGCGGGCGAAAATTGGCGCCGGACCTGTGGAGTAGGCATGATACCAGAAAAGGTCGTCCACGGCCAGGAAGCTTACTCAGACCTAACAAATAGGCCGGCATAACCACCGAGTGGAATCGGCGCCTTCGAATGACAACATCAGATGTGTGATTGGACGTTCTTTCAACTCTTTTGCAGGTCTAGGTGGCCGGAGGAGAAACTATAGAAACATACAAAACCCCATGCCTGGCTTTCGGTCGTCATGGTCGCCATCGCCTGTTTTGCCAATGAACTCACTGTCTCAACTCGCGACCGTCCCCATAAAGCACAGCATTGCAAGGCTCAGAGCCACGCCGCAAACCAGACTACTCAGCACTATCACAGCCCGCGATCTTCTGCGGCCAGCCAACACGCATATATCGAGACGAAACTGGTCGCAGCTGTCTTTCACAAGCCCCAGACCCAGTATGGCTTCACTCCACGAGCAGCCGGCTGTGTGCGAGCCATCAAGCGCAGAAACCTCCTCAACGCCAGAGGCCCCCGCAGAGGCCCAGCTGCCACCCCTCTCAGCCGCTGACTTTCGCACTTTCAATACCCTCGCCGTGAAGATGGACTACTTCGTATGATCCCTCCCTCCCCCCCCCTCCCCGCTATTTTCCCATTTTTGTAGCGCAGTCTTTGCTAACACACGACTCAGCACAACCACTTTCGCAAAACGTGGACCATGCTCCACACGGCGGCGACGAGCAACAAACGGCCGCAAGGCATGTCAATTCGGCAGTTTCTCAGCGAGGGGCTCTCGTTCATCCAGCACCTCGAGGCGCACCACTCGATCGAGGAGAACTACTTCTTCCCGCAGCTCGCACGCAAGATGCCCGAGTTCCGCGGCGGCAAGGCCGAGCTGCTGCGGCAGCACCGCGAGATCCACAAGGGCATGGAGGGTCTGCAGACGTACCTGCGCGCATGCCGGGCCGGCGAGGTGGAGCTGCAGATGAGCGTGCTGCTGGAGCAGCTCGACAGCTGGGGCGGTGTGCTGTGGACGCATCTGGATCAGGAGGTCAAGACGCTCGGCGCGGAGAATATGCGCAGGTACTGGACGCTTGCTGACATGAAGGGGTTCATGATATAAAAATGGCATGGCGCTGGCGTTTCGCTGGAGCTGACGGGGCTCTTTTGCATGGACATGGCGTTGCAATTGGTATTCGGGGCAGCGAATTGAAGAGGATCGTGTTTGGTAGTTAGAAGTACAATTTAAATAACCTGGCATTGTCGTAAAAGTTAACTGCTCATTCTGAGAGGCTATCTGACACCAGCGAAGTGGTTCTTTGTCCTGCTGAGAAACCATGACCGTATTCTAGAGCCAAACCCATCATGTCGCACCCGTTTATCATGTACGATAGTCTAACATCCTCAAGCTGTGTCCTTCCAGAGCTGCCTCATCTGGACAATGCCGGGCACACAGCCGATGGCCCAGACGACGGTGTCATTGAGAATCCCGTCGGCCGTGCTCCAGTGCACCGTCAATGGCGCCCACGCCACGTTCCTGACGAAGCTCCTCTGCCACGCGGCCTTCCACTCCTTGTGCTCCGCGCTCGTCACGTCGCCGCTCTTGCGACGCTGCCTCTCGATGAGCAGCCGTCCAATCTCGAGCCCGACGTAGGCCGACCACGACCTCGTGCTCCAGCGCGCGGCCTTGACCTGCTGTGCCGGTGTCAGGCCGAAGACGCCCTTGCCGCTGAGGAAGTAGGCGTTCTCGAGCGACTGGAACAGCACGAGGGTGATGAATTGCGCCCAGGCAACCGTCTTGTCGAGCGTCTCGGCGCTCGTGTCGGGCTTGGCGCCTGTCTTCTCGTCGACGGTCTGGGGCTTCTTCTTCTCGAGAAGGGGCAGCACGAGGCGGCGGCCGGCAAAGTAGATGCCCAGCAGGCCCCAGGAGCGCAGGAAAACGCGGCTCTCGCTCAGCAGCAGGGACAGGGCGCGCAGCCTCGTGGCGAGGCGCAGGGCGAGGCTCGCGACCGGGGAGGCCTGGGGCGCGGCGGAGAGAAGCAAGGTCGTGCTCTCGGGGAGGGAAAAGGCGAGGGTGATGAGCTTGTGGGCGGAGCGGTGGAGCGCCGAGCGGCTGGCGGCGTCGAGCAGGTTTGAAGAGAGGCGGGCCGTGTAGCCGATGAAGAGGAGTACCGTGTCGATGCCCGAAGGGGTCTGCATGCAACGGTGGAGGTGGGCAATGAAGGCGTCAATGTTGGAGGGCGTCGCAGCGAGGATGGCGCTGAGGGGCAGCTTGGGGGGAGCTGGTGCCGGGGTCGGCGGGGCGATGGGCTCGCCAGAGGGCAGGTCTGTGATGGCGTTTGCTTCAGTCATGGTGATGGCGTGGTTGATCTTGCTGCTCCAAGGCTGTCGGTATATTCGGGGAGGGCTGCAGTATCGAGGTAACGGGTTCGCGTCGAGGGCTCGGGAGGGCCTTGCTGAGGCTGCTGAGGTTGCTGACTAGGAAAGCTCTGTATGGCTGGGTATAGACGACGAATGACAATAAGATGAAGAGAGAGATGCGATATTCACTGGCAGCTGGCCATCGATACGACAATTCCACGGAAGAAGGCTAAATGGCGGAGAGCAAAGACACGATCTCCAATGCTGGCGAGAAGGGGTCGGCAGCGAATGCAGCGAGTGGAAGTGCCGCCATCTGCCTCTTCCTCTTCCCCAACTTCCCCTTCCCCTTCCACCTTCCACCTGGCATGGGAGCTCGCACGAGGCGGCAGTCGGCCTTCGGCCCTGGAGGGGAGACCTCGGCAGAACGTAGCGCGGCTTGTACGTACCTCGCTACCTAGCTAACGATACCAAGCTGGCTACGAGGGCAGGTACTCAGGGGTGTCAGTCCCCCAGACCCCGGCGCTGCGGGGCGCTACGGTTGGCCCTTGGCGTCCCTTGCCCTGAGGTGGCTTGCCGACACCTCGGTCTCTGGGTACGTCTATCTGCCTGCGATCTGCCGCTCCGTACGTCGCACTCGGATCAACAAATCAACTACCTACCTACCTACCTAGGTACCTGGAGCGTTTCATCTGTCTTGTCAATGCAAAATGCCGGAGACGTTGCCGACATGAAGCCAACGACTACTATACGCTCATCTTCCTGGCACTCATCCTCACGAGGCGAGACCCCGCGCACCCATCTCAGATTCGACGTGTTCATATCCACGCGAATCCACAAAAACCTCCACCGCGCCAGGAGTGCCCTGACCCGGAACGCCGCTTGATCAGATAAAAACAGCGCATCCACATCTGAGCCCTCATCCGTTGTTCCTCTCGACAAGACTCCACAAGCCATATTCTGGCCTGTCCACTACTTATCCTCTTGCTGCCGCCTCAACCCGGCATCCAGCTTCACAGCATTCGGCGAGATGGCAGAGTGGTCTAATGCGATAGACTAGAAATCTATTCACTTCGGTGGCGCAGGTTCAAATCCTGCTCTCGTCGTTATCCTTTTGCTGTTTCGTGCTACTTCCCTTGCTTCTCGACTTTCCTGTCTTGCGGGATCCACAAGCTGTCTTTTTTTTTCAAACAATATTTTCCGCCTGATTTTTTTCTTACTTCAGCAGTCAGACTTTGCTTCGTCCTCATCCACTCTGTTCCCCTTGCTGGTTCAGCATAATCCTCCAGACCCAGCCCCTCATCATCAACAGGCGAGATGGCAGAGTGGTCTAATGCGATAGACTAGAAATCTATTCACTTCGGTGGCGCAGGTTCAAATCCTGCTCTCGTCGTTCTACTTTTGCCTTCGTTTTGACAACCATCGTGTTGATGTCGGTTGTCATGAAGTATCGACCTGTTACTAGTGGTTGGCAACATCGTTGGGCCTCGGAATAGAACTCTGGCTCCGCTCAGCAGAGCCAAACGCTGCTTTTTGGAAACGACCAATTTTCTCTCCTTCCTCTGCAGGTAAAAGGCTATAGAGTAAATTGTGCGAATCGGTACAGTGGCTAATTCTCTATCTCTTGATCTGGCACTTCTGTGGATCAGACTGTTTGGGCCAGTGAAGACCAGGCCAAGATGCTGTCTATCACAACGGCAGAACTGAGGGGGAAGTGAGCTGGCATTTCCTCTCACAAACGTGAACAAGATCCTGGCATCTCAAGTGGCATACTTGCATCTAGCCCTTGTGTAGCCGTGCGAAACTTTGGTTGTCTTGTTACTCGATCAAATGGTCGTCAACACCGAGCAATGCGAATTGACCCCAAGGCCGTGGATGCCTGTTGTCGACGTTCCAAATTTGATTGGCCACAAGGCAGCAGCATGGTCCGTGCAGCTCCCCGAACGCTCCCTTGTCATGCGTCATGCTGTGTCTAAACGTCTTTCTGGCTTACAAAAGTTAGGCTACATTGTGAATTCACGACGGCGATATTTTTCGTGACTGCGCTTTCTTGAACACAACAGGCAGGAAGTTGCTTCTGTCTGGGATGGGTGACAGGACACAGCTTCTTTATGAACCTTGACATCCTATTCCCCACGATCCTCGTGCTTTGAGACGGGGCACCATCGTTCTGACGTTTTTCTGTCACTTATGGTTAATCCCAGCAAGGGAAGGTTCATCCAGATCACCCCCATGCACAACCTATACCGCGCAGGAGCAGTCTTGCCCGAAGGGTCCCGTCTGAATTGACGCCATTCACCATTCAATCTGCGCTCTCTAACTATTCTCATGGTTTCCTGAGCACACTTCCTTGGGTCTGACATCACACACATTTCAACTGCCATGGCTTCTGACGACACACTGGATGAGGAGGCTGCCCTTCGCAACCTCACCGCCGATGTTCGAGATCAAGAAGATCTCGAGAGAGACATCGGCCTCCAGGCCAATGCAGCCATCAAGGAACAACAGGATAAGAATGACCAGGCCAAAATCGACAAGCTCGAGGCTAGCAAGACGAGACTTGAGGCCCAACGGCGGAAGGAACGTGAGAAGCTCGAAGCCAACCGCAACAATGTCTTCCAGTCGCGCAATATCCAGAAGACCCTCGACAAGCTCGAGCTGGAGATCAGACAAATTGACGGTGACGTGGCTGATTTTAAGGCTCGTCTGGAGCGCCGCCAGGAAGAGGTGGCCGCCGCCGAACAGGAAGTTGCGCAGGGGAAGTCGCTGAAGCTGCCTAATGAGAGCCGCCGCGACTACTTGGTGCGGACCGGAAAGATCACGCCATTTGCCTCCATTGGCGGCCCTCGCCCTGAAGGGTTCGAAGGCGACTTTGCCGACACGCTGCTGGAAGCCGAGGACGAGGCCAAGGAAGAGGCTTTGGCAGCCAACGACAAAGAGCCCACCTCGCACCAGATTCTGCGTCGCCCGGGGTTTGCGGATGCCGCACCCGCACCTGCCGCCGTGGAAACAGAATTCAGTTTACGTCCCCGGAAGAAGAGGAAGGTCAAGCAAGCTGATTCTGACGATGATTTTGACCCTACCTCGGCTGCCGCATCGAATGCGCCGTCGCCAGAATCCGCTGCAGCCTACACATCAGAGGATGATACCAGTTCGCGCAACCTCAAGCGAACGACCAAGGCTAGAGGCAAGAAGACTGCCGCCACAACGGACAAGGTCGATTTGAGCAGTATTGACGATGGAAACGAGCGTTCGTACCAAGAGCGTCTAGCAGACTGGACCGAGAGACGGAGCGAAGCCCGGAAACAGCGACGATCAGAAGCTGGCGATACGTCAGTGGAACCCAGCGGCCCGGAATGGTCCAAGCCTTCGCCAGATGAGGAGGACTATGTGATCAATGATGATCTCAGGCTTCCCGGCGACATACATCCCTCTCTCTTTTCATATCAAAAGACTGGTGTTCAGTGGTTGGCCGAATTGTATTCGCAAAACGTCGGGGGTATCGTCGGTGACGAGATGGGACTTGGCAAGACAGGTAAACCGATTCTGAAGTCTTGAGTCGACCCATGCTGACAAGTCAAAAAGTACAAGCCATTGCCTTCATTGCGGCCTTACATTACAGCAAGAAGCTTACCAAACCCGTCATCATTGTTGCACCCGCCACAGTCTTGCGTCAATGGGTGAATGAATTCCACCGCTGGTGGCCGGCTCTACGTGTTTCCATCCTACACTCTTCAGGAAGCGGCATGATAAACCTGCGTGAGGATGACACAGACGAGGAGACACACAGCGGAAGGCGTGATAAGTCTGTCCGCAAAATTGTTGACAGAGTGGTCAAGCATGGACACGTGCTAGTGACTACCTACAACGGTCTCCAGACATACCAAGACGAGCTGCTCCATGTGGAGTGGGATTATGCAGTGCTCGATGAAGGCCACAAGATCCGTAATCCCAACGCCGAGATCACAGTTCTGTGCAAGGAGCTGCGGACTCCCAACCGAATCATCCTCTCGGGCACCCCTGTACAAAATAATCTTTCGGAACTCTGGTCGCTTTTCGATTTCATCTACCCTATGCGACTGGGCACTCTGGTTACGTTCCGTACCCAGTTCGAGGTGCCCATCAAGCAGGGCGGTTATGCTGGTGCTACGAATCTGCAAATCCTGACAGCTGAAAAATGTGCCGAGACTCTCAAAGAAGCCATCAGCCAATACCTCCTGCAGCGGCTCAAAATCGACGTCGCCGCCGACCTTCCCTCCAAGACAGAACGGGTTCTGTTCTGCAAGATGACAGATAGGCAGCTCGAAGCTTACAAACAGTTTTTGAATTCTGATGCGGTTAACCAGATTCTAAGCGCCCGACGGAAATCCCTTTATGGTATTGATATTCTGCGCAAAATCTGCAATCACCCTGACCTTATTGACCCTCACCTCCAAAACAAGGCAGGCTACGATTGGGGAGACCCTGAGAAGTCAGGAAAGATGTTAGTTGTGCGGAATCTCCTCCAAATCTGGAAAAAGCTTGGCCACAAGACACTGCTCTTCTCACAAAGCAAAATGATGCTCAATGTCATCGAGAAATTCCTGGGTGGTCTTGAGACAGTCAAGTACGTTCGCATGGACGGCGAAACCTCCATCGAGAAGAGACAGAGTCTCATTGATCAGTTCAACACGGATCCCGAGATTGACATCTTCCTCCTGACAACCCGTACTGGTGGTCTTGGAGTCAATCTAACGGGTGCAAACCGAATCATCATCTTTGATCCTGATTGGAACCCTTCGACAGACATGCAGGCTCGTGAGAGAGCATGGCGTCTTGGACAGACTCGCTCTGTTGAAATCTACCGTCTCATGACTGCTGGCACTATTGAGGAGAAGATCTATCATCGCCAAATCTTCAAGCAGTTCATGACAAACAAGGTGTTGAAAGACCCTAAGCAGCGAGCTGCTTTCGATCTATCGGATCTTTACGACCTCTTCACATTCGGCAACTCCCAAGACAGCAAGGGTAATATCGACCGGAGCAGTATTCTCAAAGATGCCCAAGTCAAATTCGACGGAACCACACCTCCCAAAGAGAATGCTCCTGCCAGTCTAGTAGTACCAATCTCATCCGTGAGCAGCGAAAGCAAACCCCAGACTGGCAGCGAGGAAACGCGTGAAGTTCAGAATATCGATGGCGTCCAGGGCATGGAAGAGACAAACAACCCAGAAGAGATGGAGGACGAGAAGCGCATGGTAGAAGGCATCTTTGCTCGCAATGTCGAGAGCGCTTATGAACACGACAAGGTCATGAATGGCAAGAAGACAGTGCAGGCTGATCGCGGAATGATCACGCAAGAGGCAAATGCCGTCGCAGCCACAGCCGCAGCTAGTTTACGCCGAGCGCATGTCCAGGCGCGCACCATTACCCCGGGAACAGTTACTTGGACCGGCGAAGTTGGCGAAGCAGGACGTCCTGGTGCACACAACCGCCGTCGCGGCGCAGCACCGAGCAGTGCTGGCATCATGAGTGGTCTTGCTGCCCGGCAAGGCATGGGCGCATCGCCGTCTCCTGTTGGACAGAAAGTGCAAGCCGTAGATTTTGGGCCCAAAATCATTGAGTTCATCAAGCGGCACAGTGGCACGGTACCTACGAAGTCGATAGTAGATCACTTCAACCACGAGGTAAAGGGCAAGGCGCAGGTGAAGGAGCAATTTATGGAGGCCTTGGAGAGGGTCGCTAAGATCAACAAGTCCGGAGGCGCTGGTCGCAGCACATGGTCTCTGCGGCCGGCTTACAAATGAGCGGGCCAGGCGTTGAGCTGAGACGATAAGTGATGGGTAGGACGTCACGGCAGAAGCTTCGTAGCAGTCTTAAGATATCCCGGTCAGGTAGAGACCATAACACCTTCTGCTTATTTGATTGGACCTCAAAAAACCAGTTGAAACCACAGGCTTAACTCGTTCGAATAACACTTTCACCGAGAGAGTGGGCGACAAGGCACAGGTGTGATGTATCAGGAGCTGCTCTTCAGTTCAGGGCCATACGGCGCAATTCTATTCTGTCTACTTTTCAGCTACAGCCGGCCGAAAAGACGCAACAAAGCGCGTAGAACATGGAGACCAGGCAAAAAGTGCCGTTCCCCTCGTTTTTGACGATGCCACCCAAGAGACCAATCCGCAGAGCACACTCCTGACCATTGCCGTCCCCACTTGACGACTCTGATGCCAGACACCATTTTTTGATTGTGTCTGTCGCTCAGAGACGACGACCACGGCGACCACCCTTGCGACGGGTAGAGTCGGAGGGGGTGGGGGTGACGTCCTCAATGCGGCCAATCTTCATGCCGGAACGGGCGAGGGCGCGGAGGGCAGACTGGGCACCGGGGCCGGGGGTCTTGGTGCCGTTACCTGAAAACTGCGTGAGCAAATGCATCTTTAAAGATGGAGCGAATACCTGGACTTACCGCCGGTGGCGCGGATCTTGATGTGGAGGGCGGTGATGCCGAGCTCCTTGCAGCGGACAGCGACGTCCTGAGCGGCCAACATGGCGGCGTAGGGGGAGGACTCATCACGATCGGCCTTAACCTTCATGCCACCAGTGACACGGCAGATGGTCTCACGGCCACTGGAATCACCCAGGTTAGCCTCTCAACCATGACATGCGTGATAGGGTATGTTTTCTTCAGCAGCAACCGCCCAAGCTGGTCGCTTTCGCGGGGTACGGCATTGGCGCGGCGCTGCAATCAGGGGGAGACGAACGTGAGATCGGTGACGTGGACGAAGGTGTCGTTGAAGGAGGCGAAGATGCGGGCAACGCCGAAGACGAGCTCGCCTGGAGGAGACGTGGTATTAGCATCGTGAAAAGTTTCCCAAGGCGGGGGGAGCTGCGACAAGGCGGCTCTTGCACAGCGCAGACGTGAAAGCTTACCATCGCGAACCTGAGGTCCGAGGGAGATGTTCTCCTGGGGAGCGCGGGGAGCCTTGGACTTGGGGGCCATCTTGTCGTTCTGGTGACTCTGTCAAAGAGGGATGAGGTCGTCGTTTGTGAGGGTTGGCGATGGGCTGTTTCGAGGTTTCGCTGGTAGGGTAGAACAGAGAGTCAGAGCACTGACCGCCAGTCCGCAAATGGGGCTTCAACCCTACCTGCCAAAAATCACCCACCCACCAATTCGCCGCACCACCTAAGCGATTTTTTTTCTGCAGGAAAAAAGCCCCACTCCTTTCCTTGACCGCCCTAGGGCCCCCATCCACATCGCTTCACTTTTCTTGACGCCTTTTCTTCTCCTCTTGTTCGTCCCTCTCCATCCCGACTCCGACCATCGACAACCACCCTCGACATCCTCGACCGACAATCGCAATGGCTGGCTCGTATGTCTACCGCTCCCCATGATTTTCCCTACGATGCCTGGATGGCGATGAATGCAGATTGTCGTGGTCTTCTCAACTGGATTCCCAGTTTCACAATGTGGTGAAACTCGGCTCTCCCAGCTCGATTCTTCTCGAGCATCTCCCTCCTTCTTGCAGGTTTGGAACACAGCCTGCGGATTGAGAGACGGTGTCTCGGGGCGTTGGGGATGAAGAGAAATCTTCTCCTCCAAATACATTGCTGCTTGGTAGCTGCTCATGACGTCGAAAGACTCTTCGAGCAGTTACATTCCAAGCATGCACACCTCCTCAGCTTGTACCTGAGATGTTGTCGGATAAGCGTCAGCTTGACAAGACTTCCTCCTTACCGGAGACGAGTCTTGATCAAATGCTTACCGACTAAATACATCAACTCGAGTTAGCCAAGGCGAGAATGTCGCGCACTGCTGCAATTCTCGCACCGGCGCTCTGCTCCATACTACGGTATGCCGGACTACGTACTAATCTTGTCCTCTAGTTCCGTCCCCACCAAGGAGCAGATCCTGGTCCCTGAGACCCTTCTCAAGAAGCGCAAGTCGCAAGAGAAGGCTCGTGCCGAGCGCAACGCCGCCAACGATCAGAAGAAGACCGTGAGTTCGCCCTGGTCCCAGTTCCCCTCTGGATTTTATGATGCATAAAATACCCCAATCGACTAGACACTTGGTGTCGCTGCTGTTGTTTAAAATTACATCTTCTTTCGGGTCTGATATTTACCGGACACTGTCACATTTGCCTACTCTCACTTCTGGAGAAACTCACGGACTAACAACGTCAATCAGAACAACAAGGAGAAGCGCGAGGTCATCTTCAAGCGTGCCGAGAAGTACGTCCAGGAGTATCGCGAGCAAGAGCGCGAGAAGGTCCGCCTTGCTCGCGTCGCCCGTGAGAGCGACTCTGCCTATGTCCCTGCCGAGGCCAACCTGATCTTCCTTATCCGTATCAAGGGTATCAACAAGATCGCCCCCAAGCCCCGCAAGATCCTCCAGCTCCTGCGTCTCCTCCAGATCAACAACGGTGTCTTCATCCGCGTCACTAAGGCCACCACTGAGATGATCAAGGTCATCGAGCCCTGGGTCGCTTACGGTTACCCGAACCTGAAGTCCATCAAGGAGCTCATCTACAAGCGCGGATACGGCAAGGTCAACAAGCAGCGCATTGCCCTCACCGACAACTCCATCATTGAGGAGAACCTCGGCAAGTACGGCATCATCTGCATGGAGGATCTCATCCACGAGATCTACACCGTCGGCCCCAACTTCAAGCAGGCCGCCAACTTCCTGTGGCCCTTCAAGCTCTCCAACCCCACTGGTGGCTTCCGCCCCCGCAAGTTCAAGCACTTCATCGAGGGTGGTGACCTTGGCAACCGCGAGGAGAAGATCAACGCCCTCATCCGCCAGATGAACTAAGCGTTGGTCCCTTCACTGTGGACTGGGTTTGGGTCGTCTCTGTTGATAGGTTGAGAAAAATACCAAGGGCTTTATGATTCATGGTCCCACGGCGTTACGATCACAAAAGGGGATTTGTGAAATTGAGCTTTTTCAGACTTCATTACCGGGTCCACCCTCTTGTGCGTGCTGTTTGGTAGTCTCGATCAATGCGAAGTGACTCCTCATCCAATATGTTTGTTACCGCCATGGTATTCGTTGATACAACTACAATACTGCTACATTTTGATATCAAAGCTCGTGCCGGATCCGCAGCTGCTTGTCGCCAGGGGGTTGTCCGCAATTTTGAATTGCGACCCAATTAGCTCCATCGTAAAGTCGACCTTGCTGCCCTTGAGCAGATCGAGTGATGGCTGGTCAAGCACAATCTTAGGCGCTCCCGGCGTCGGTGACGTTGCTGTGTATTCCTTCCCCTCAGCGTACTCAAAAATACTGTCGTCTTCGCCCACTGCCGCCGACACATGTCCGTCGCTTCCCTCTGCTGGCGGGAGGGTGACCAAGCTCATGAGGTATTGGAAGCCGTGGCAGCCACCACTCTCAACCTGGATGCGTAGCGCGAGGTCCGGGTTCTTATCCTTCTGCATGATTTGGGACAGGCGCTGTTGTAGTCTGTCAGCACACGAATGCAGTACGGTGGCATATATGAGGTCAAGTAGGTACCTTGCCAGCACGATCGGTGATTTCGAGGCGCATCTCCTTTCCGTCCTCGTCCACCTGAAGGTTATGGACACAGGCCGTAGCTTGTCGTGCGGGGAGGTGCGAAAAAGCTCTCCTCAGCCCGATATTCTTCAGAACACGGCCTCGAGAGTTTGTAATTGTATGTATTGCTGCTGCATGTCTGTCACACCATGCGCGGTGCGTCGTGGTGCTGTACGCAGCCTCGAGGCGAGCGGTCTGTCGACTCCATCGCGGAGCTAGAATGTCGAGTACGGGTGTGGCGGTGGAAGTCGACGTGCGTCTGGCGAGCTGGACAAACAGTCCTGCACTCGATGCTGGATTCGCGCACCGGAGAGAGGCCATATTGATACAATGTGGTGGAGCGGCCAGGTCAACGTAGGTTTGGTTGTAACGAAGGTATCTGACAAATTCTACCCACCGAGGATGTGATGTAAAGAGTCCGGCTGATGGTGGCGGCTCGGATCGGTTCGGCCGGTGCAGGATGACTCAGCCGTTGCTGATCTGCAGGGCCAATCATCGAAAAGGCATTTCAACCTATCTAGCACAGTCTCGACCCTCACAGGAAGGCCATCTCTCCACTTGAATCAAGTGAAGCAAATCGTACCGATGTTGTGATGAGTGTGTTGACCCCTTTTTCACACAGTCCTCTATGCAAGGCGGCATCGCCGGTCACAGGCGATCAGGCAGGTGAGCTGAGGACGGGGGTTTTTCACGCCAGTGGCTTGATACCGTCTTGAACATAACTGGTTGAACCGCAAGCCGCGAGCCAATGATGCCCGGTACTGGCCTGTCAGCCTAGGCGATTCGAACTGTCGGTGTCAAAACAGGACGGCATAGCCTGGTCACCCCCCGAGGCGTAATCATTGAGCCTTAGTATGTCGTAATCGAAACTTGGGGGCCGCGGATCTGACGCCCCTCATCGGACTCGGAAGTGTTTAAACTGACTGCACGTCGGTACATAAGGCTGACGTCCCTCTCGCACCTCCAGTAGGTATCAGAGAAAGGTTGTGATTCCCTACCCAAATGTCGCTTCATGTCTGCCGACATGCACATACCACCTGACCCAGGTTCGTCGGCGTCGCCTCCTGCAGGGGTTGGCGAATCCAACTCCCTGCCGGTTTCTCTCGACCACCCTGCCGAAGAGCATCATGTCCCCGGTCCAACGAAGCCCTCCCAGCCAGTCGTCACTTTGCCGCCACCCTACACTGCTGCGGACGTGCCATCACAGTCGACGGGGGCAGTCGCCGGTTCATCTGACCAAGTCTCATCGCAACCGCAGAATGCTCCTACCAAGAACCAAACCGCCTTTCTCGCCCAAGTAGGAAAATGGTTTGAAGCCCACAAACTTGCAGCCAGTTGCATCGCACTCTTCGTTGCTTTCGCCGGGTTGCTGGTGCCATCATCTCCGTGTTCCCTAGCTTCAAAAGCCAGTATCTGTCTGAAGAAGCACTTGAGCTCTCCCGCTGGACAGCTTTCAAGGATTATATCCAGGTGTGCAGTGAACTTGTGGTACGTTTTCTTCTTCAAGAGAAGCGGGGAGCCTGGGACTGTGCGATGTCTGATATGCCGGCTGTACAGGAAGCTGGGACAGCAACTCCAGAGTGCGAAAAGGCTGCGCATGCCTTACTCCCGCCGCCGCCGCAGATGAACGAGCGCAGCCTCGGGCCCTACGAACGCCTCCGACGCCGGTTCAACAGACCCCCGCTTGTCATGTGGGCCGATTATGATGCATACTCGATGTTTCCGATGAGCAGCAGCAACCCACAACTTGGCCACTCGGTCTCTGCTGTGCTCACCTTTGCTGGGGCAGTATGCTATTTCCTGATTGTCTATAAGATTATACATCTTATGATCAGGCTTCGTCGTCTTAGACAGGGCAAGTATTACGAAAAGTGCTCCAACACCAACCCACGCAGTATCCATGCCAATCCGGGCCATGGACCAGTGCGGTCGGAACAAGCCGGGTTACGCACAGGGTATTCCTACCGCACTGCCACGCGCTTGTTCAGGAGAAGCTATCATCCGGAGCTGGCGTGAAGAGGACAGACAAGCCGTGTCTGCGTTTCCCTGGGATATGGTGAATGAGTTAAAAGTGTTAGGATTTTCTTGAGAATAAACAGGATAGGGTGGAAATTTAAAAAATGATACTGCGTGTTATGCTTAGTATGGTACTCTTGTGTTGCGTAAATGTGTAGCACGTTAGGAGCTTGTCGATGCTCAATATCACTCTGTATCGTCCGTGCTGGTTCACTGGGTACTGCAAAGCAAGCCCCCATGCGTGCGAAACCTCGAGTCAATTCAGATGGAGCAGCTCTTAAGGTAAATGTGAAGCCCCAAGTCATCAACGGACATACAAGTTTCGCCAACCTTTATAGCCCGGCACAGGGTAGGTTGGTACCTAGGATTACCTTTTCACAAAACTGCAAGCCACTGAGCCAGCGGGCCAAAAACTTCCACTAAGTCAGGGTTCTACAGAGGCAAGTACGATGGCGCTCACATACCAATCTCCAAACTGTGAAGGGGAAGGGAGTACCGATGGATCGGAGTTACCCATAGAGGAATGTACTTCTAGGTGAGAATGCTGCCCTCACAAAGAGAAAGAGGGGAGTTCTCGCTGAGATTCTCAATATCCAGGCACTTCAAGTTACCAATGACCTCAAAATCCCCTCGACCTAGCCTGATATCCAACGTCAAAACCGTCACCCCGATACTCCCTATCGATATTTTTGCTGGTTCGAAGTCAAGCGACCTGGCACTGGCCAGTCCAGTTATTCAAACAAACACAAATCGACCCATCTGAGGCGTAGTCTAGGATGGCTTATGAAACGCGCGAACTTCAGCAGAAGAAATTTGAGATTATGCTTCTTGCATCCACTCTCTTCATTCTAGTTAGTGTACTAGGCATCGTTCTGTATTATGGCGCCGGAATACGGGTCGATCGGGAGCGGACAGCATCGGAACATCGCGAATCGCTCCGTAATAGCATGCGCTGGCAACAAGATGATGACTCCGAATCCGATAACGTCGCAGACAGCGAGAGTTTTGTAGACAGCGTCCGCCGCCGGAGCGTCTCCCTGATCAGCGGCGTACAGAGAGAGATTGGCTCTTTTGAAAGAAGAATGTCGACCAGCTCCACGAGCAGCATCCAAAGCTCCCTCTTGTAGAACATAGGGGATGCTTGTTCTCAAGGATTCCGCCGGCTGAGCAGCGACCTTTCTGCATTACTCAGCCCCGCTTCCGACCGGCACAATGATGTTGAGCTTCTGCTTGACAAACCCGAGAGCATCGAAGCAAGTGCTCGTGAGATGGAAGGCCCGCCGGGCACGCGACGAAGATCGAGTCGGGTCGTATTTCTGGATGTTTTGTCTGACGGTGGGACACACGGGCCGGTGATCGCATTCCGTGTATGGAGATGAGCAGCGTACAGAACTCACGAAAGCTTCACGACGGCTCAGGAGACGGACTGGTGTACATAGTGAATCTATCCACTTCTCTCCACTCTCCCTAACCTATGCTCACTCTGCCTTTCGCTCGGTCTATCCCGACCGATATAAAAGTGCCCGAAAGTCGTAGCTCCACCGCGCGCATGTTTGCTACTGGTCGTATCGCTTTTGTACAAGGCGCTGTTCCACGTCGTTGGTGGTCTCGTGCTCTTCCCCTGGTCGTCTGGTCTGTTGCTTATGCCTGCTTCTTCAGGTCCCTCGCCGCCTGTCGCAGGTTGAAGTTGCACTCCTCGTACGCCCGGCCGGCTCCGAAGCCAGCGCCAACAAAGGCGGGCCACGCCCTCCGCTTGAAGAGGAGGACTGAGAAGACGACGCCGAAGCCGAGTCCAAGAGACGACTTGACGAGGAGGTTGGACAGGCAGCGGTCCCACTGTTTTGTGTTAGCTGTTGGCGCGCCAAGTTTGCGATGGATCGAGCGCTCTCAGGAAGCTGTCGTACCTTCTCATTGAGAAGTGCCTCACTGACGGGTCGCGCGACGGCGCTCGGAGGAGGACGGATGGCGGTGTCAGACATGATTGCGGAGCTGCAGAGTTATCAGTCGGTGTCAATTGACGTGTGTTGATGGCGAGGCGTTGCGACGTACACGTGTGACACGATTGGGCAATTGGTGGTGTGGTTGGGATCGCGAACTACCGTCGGATTTCAATCAAAGACGGTTCCGTCATGTTATTTTCGAGGTGGTCGGGAGAACCAACCTGGAATACCCGAAGGCGGTGAGACACCGGTGAGCCTCGGTGACTACGAGTGGAGCGGCAGTATTTTCTCTAGGAAATAATTTTGGGCGGGGAGCTGCAACTGAAGGTCCAAGTCTTGAGTGATCGATCGTCCGCAGGCTGACCTTCACGATTGCCACATTCGTTCATTCCCTCACCATGGATGTGATAATGGCAAATGGCCATGGCTCTACGGAGACTTTTGTAAGTAGATATGATTCACTCCACGCACCAATCGCATCTAATTCGTACCCAACAGACCCGTGGACGAGACCTTGTCAAGACCGTACGATCACTCGACCAGACCGGACCAGGAAATGATGGTGAACATATTGAGCGCGCCTGGGCTCTTCTCACCTCCGTCAGTTCCAGTCACTTCTACGCCGCCGAGGAGACTGTGCTGCGATGGCTTCTCAAGTCCATGAAGACGAACAACGATGCCGCCGACACTCTGCGAAGATTTCCCTTGACATGGCGGATCCTGGGCTGCACATTTCAAAGGATACCTCTATTCTCTCTCGCGAAATCTCTCGCCGATAGAAAGTTTATGGCCATCTTGCAACAGACTCTCAAGAGCATCTCGAAACCGGTCACACCCAAGGATGCTGTCCCCGCGCCATCGTCGAAGAAGAGGAAGAGAACACCCGAGGTTATATTCGATCTCGAAGCTTTGAAGACACGGGACGGCTGTATAAGCACGGGAGACGCGGTTCTGGGAGCGCTCCGAATCCTTCTAGCTCGTGTTGATGGAGCCGCACATACATCCCAGAATGAACGCATGGGCGCGGAACACATCAAGGGTCTCTTCTCGCAACCTGCCAGTGATGTGGTAACCTACCTGGCCCCCATCCTTTCGCTGTGCGAATACTCAGCTACCAGCGACCTGAGCTGCGCCGAAACGCAAGAGAATTGGATTCACACACTGTCCGCGATATGGAACCTGCGACTACAAGGGCAGGCCGATAGCTTGGAGGTAGCTCTCTACCTTTCGCGATCTGCCTTTGGCCTTCTGGGAAAGCTGACTGGGCTGGCAATCGATGTCGACATCACACTTGAGGACCATGTCAAGTCTTCTTGGGTACAACAACTAGAGAGCTTCATGCATCGCAATCTTTTCCTTCCTGCAAAATCGGCTTTTCTTAATCGAAAGGACCTCGAAGCACCCATCCGGGCAGTTGATATCTCTAGACCTATCGCCTCAGTCGCGGGCCCCGTGTTCTTTCACTTGGCGTCCACAACACCCCGGATTCTCTCCGGGCCAAGCGCATCGACGTCTGAAGAGGACTGGGCCAAGGCAACATTCAAGTTGGCGCGCGACAGCTTGGCCGACCTGACCCCACAGAAGAAATCCACGACTCTGAAGATCATGCTTGGCGAAGCAATTGCCAACAGGTCAAATATTGACTTAGCAGATCTTCGCGCCCTGTGCAAGGACCACGCTCTCGGCAGCGATTCCACAGACTGGCAGGCCTTGTCACTCGTGGCACAGTGCGACCCCGATGTTTTCCTTCTTACGGACGATGGGGCTCTATTGTTGAACACGGTTGCGGACCGGCTGCTGCAACCACAATCTTCCCTAGGCGGTGAAGAAGATCTAGAGGCTGTGCGTACGTTGTTCGACTGCATAATTGGTGGCTACGACAAGGCACGCGACTTGTCTTCCTTCCTAAGGAAGTGGTTTGAGCAACTCGTCAAGTGCGACGCCTCTTCACTTTCGGATGCAACGAACCGGTCAGCCTGGTTTTCCTCAGCAGTACATCGCAGTTCTCGCCTGACAACAGCCATCGAAAATTCTCTTACACCAAAGCAGCTCCTGAATGTGCTGCAATGGGTTGAGGAGCAAGCAAGCGTCCTGCCGGCAGCAACTCTGGTTTTCCTCGACACAATTGCAGCTGCTCTGAAGAGTGACGACTTTGTGGATGTAGTGCAATTGAGGCTCTTCGATCTCATGCAGGATGCTTGGCTGTCAGATACTCTGCCTTCGGACCTCCTCGCTCTTCGCTGGCCAATCATCGCGAGCACGGTTTCCTGGGTCAACAATGAGGCGGCTTCCAAGATTCGATCGAAGGTGCAGTCCGAACTCAAGAAGACCTTGGCCAAGGGCAAGCTGGAAAAGCCCGACACGTTCGAGGCTTTCCGCGCCGCCACTCAGCTTTGGCTGTCAGCCTTCCCAGATGGCGAGGATGTAGCGGAGCTTGCTGCACTACTCGGATCTTTCGCCGACCGATTAGCCAAGCAACTTCGAAAGCTAAAGCCAGCGTCCCTCGAAATACCATGGGACCCGTTTGGTGTCCAGCTTTCAACACCGGAGACTAGGCCAACCACATCCTCTGTTACGATTACGTCCTATGTGGACTTTGCCTTGGGAGAAGCGTCACGGTTCCTGCCTCTTGTTAGCGAAAACGCCGACACATTACCAGAGTTTTTGCGGCATATCATTGCCTTTTCCGATGACAAAGAAGCCGCGCCACAAGAGTCAAAGCAGCTGTCAAGTGCTCTGAGTGCTGTGCTCTCGAACGAAAACGTGTTCCACGAGGCCAGACTCACAACGAAAGTCATCGACCACGTCATCGAGGCCTTGACCTGTGGTTCGAAGTCCTCCCCCTGGGAAGATGCAAGCACAAGCGCAGCGCTCAAAGCCCTGATCAACACACCCAACGAGTTGCTTTCGAGAGCCCAGCGAGAGAGAATCATGGAGACGCTCATGCTGCAACGTCGCAAGATGAAGAGCAAGACTGAAAAGGTGTCAGCCTCTACATGGAATCTCGTCCTCGGTCTGATGGTCAAGGTGATGCAGAGGTCGACATTCTACGAAGGCATGTCATTTTCTGATCTCACAGCCCTCGCCACAAGCGCATCCCCCGCTATAGCCGACATGGACCCAAAGACCGCGCTTGGCACATCTCGCTTGATCTGCGAGCTGTCCACTTTGACAATCCGCCAGATCAATGACCACTACGAGGAGGAAT